TCCTCACTTCACCCAGGTGGGAATGGGTACCCGGCTATAGACAGCGAAAGATCTTGTCAGTTTGTTAGTGTTTGAGCGCTTAATCAGCTGCTTGCACTGTATGCTTCCCGGGAAGCTGAGAATGTTTCGGAGTGTCCTGTGGTCTGCTGGGGTAATAATATAGTGTAAAGTGCATAGAGCCTGCAGTTGAGCGGGGATATGTGCTATACAAATTCTATTTATTATTATTATTATTACCTGTCTAAGGCAATCACCTAAACAATGACCTCTTTCCACTTCCCCCTTGTGTTTTGTATAGTATCATGATGCTGTTCAAAGTGTCCACATTTATCTAATAGGTAGTGCCCATTGGAGAACCTGTTTGGTGCAGTTCGGTGCAGTTTCTGGCAGCTTCAGTGCACAATATAAATGAACCTTTGTCTCAAACCAATCGCCTGACTCGCAGCCTTGAAAACAAACACGTTTGTTCTTGAAGGTCATCATTGGTTTCGTTCGGGTTGTGCTACGATAATAGCTTTTCTCCCCCCGTGGTGGAAAATCTGTGAAGCGCACTGACAAAATGAGTTACTTCTCAGATTCTAGTCCTATGGGAATGGAAACATCATGCTTATAGGTAAAGTTTTTATGGTTTATAAGTATAAAATAATAAAAGTAATAAAAGGCATGTTACACATAAAGAATATGGCATCAATAGAAAATCTACGAATTTAACCCTAGTGTCGATTTTTGGCCATTATTTCCATTTGTAGATGACAAGAAGTAAGTAATTTTGTCAGAACGTCTCACAATGGCTAGCCGTGACGACCGAACCAAACCAATGGGCACTGAGTTTAAGACGACGACTTTTCTCCTCAACTATGGGTGGCCTTCTGGTACAATTTTGACTGTATGTCCACTAACTAACATTTCATTTTTGTGGTTGGCGGGTGCTCTGGTGTGGTTTGCTCCTTCTTTCCTATCAAACATCTATCGTCCTCATCTTTCCTCCTTCTTTTTTGTGTATATTACTCTCTTGTAACACATCTATTCTTCGGCACTTATATGACCTTATTTTGTTGCAAGTGCCGCAAAGCTCCTACTAAAACTAAACATTTCATTTTTCCTTTTCCTCAGGTTCTCATAGGTGATCAGCGGTCACTAACCTACAAGATCAGGAACTGGTGGACTGATTACTGGAATCGCTTTGACTTCATCATGTACCTATTGGTCGTTGTGTCTGTTGTCCTGAGATATAACCTCAGCTCCTCTAGCTTTGTATGGGTAAGCAAATTGTGGCAAACTGTTCCAATAGGAGGGCAAAAAACCCCCAAAACTATTTAACTCTTTTAACCCTACTAGCCCCATGCGCGTGTATTTTCAGCAGCGCTTGTACCTCCCATCGTCCCAAGAGCGTATGATATTCTCAGTTTGGGGAGGGGGTACAGAATTTGCGCTTTTAAAAAAATTAGCGAACCTAATTAAACTTTAATTTTCATATTTGTTCATTTACCTTTAAACATAATTGTCTGTTATTATCTAAACCTCATCACAAAGATACCACATCACTTTTTTTAGAGTGCATGCCTCTTTTTCTGAAATACTGCTGTATTCGCTGGGACTGGGGTTAAGGAGTTCTCAAAAATGGCTGGGGCTGGAAGGGTTAACAATTGTGAGGCGTGATGATAAAGTGAGGCACTTTTCGCTTTCCACGATTGGAGATGTCAGCCAGAAATCGACACAAGGCGTCAAATTTGTAGATTTTAACTGATTGTCCTAGTAATGAGAAAGATGCCAAAATGGAAAAGGCAAGGACGTCATGTTGTTTTCGGCCTATGCTCCACTTGGAGTTAAAAGAGGCAAGAGAGAAGAGAGACATTCAATCGATACCACACATTAAGAAACTGCTTGTTCACAGACCGGACAAACACACCAGTTGCAAACAAACACTCTTCACAACCCAACACTCACTGTCACACACAATATCGACACAATATCTGTCGGGAATTTAGAAACAACCAAGAAAATCACAGACCGACACAAAACACAGCTGCACTCTTGCCAGATCAAAAACCGGAAGCAGAGAGAGAGAGAGAGAGAGAGAGAGAGAGAGAGAGAGAGAGAGAGAGAGAGAGAGAGAGAGAGAGAGAGAGAGAGAGAGAGAGAGAGAGACAGACAGACAGACAGAGAGACAGACAGACAGACAGACAGACAGACAGACAGACAGACAGACAGACAGACAGACAGACAGACAGACAGACAGACAGACAGACACATAAACAGACACACAGACAGACAGGCAGAGAAAGCAAGAAGGAGGGAGGAGAGAAATGAGTGATGAACGGTTGGAAAGAAAGAAGGGCAGAAAGAAATAAAAGGAACATCTCATGTTGATGTCCAGTTCTGACTGTCTGTGTGTCCTCAGGTGCGCATCATCTACTCCATCACTCTGGCCATGTCTTACCTCCGCTGCATGCAGTTCTTCTACGCTGAGAAGAACATGGGGCCCAAAGTTATCATGATCCGGAGAATGGTAAAACTTAAAAAAAAAATATTTGTGAGACAGCGTGGTGAAATCAGAGGCTCGTCAAAATACAGAAATTGGAGAAACAGGCATTTTTCCACCAGTTTGGAAATTTTTATCGAATGTTTTTTGTTAGTTTTTGGCTTAACCTCTTTTTTTTTCATGTCCATATAAAAACATGTTTCCTTGTGACTTTTACTGAAAAACATTGATTAAAGGCACAAAATATGTCATTTTCCTGTTTTCAAGGACTCTTTAGCTATTGGATTTACCAAACTTTGGTGGCCATTTTCTCGCTAATTTCTCCTCTGAAACCAGGCGACCTCACTTACTTCAATCACAAATATCTTGAGTGATATTAAAGATAGATGGATATTTATTTCATAGGAATCAAGGTAAATAAACCAGCTTTCAGATGATACCAATAACTCCACACGCCCCAAAATTGACGAGCACCCGATTCCAACGCGTCGTGACATATTTTAAAAAATTGAATGATATTCATTACTTTGGTTTGTTTTTCCCTTCACCTGTTTATGTTTAAATTTTAAACTTGATTTTTTTTCTCTTGTTCAATGGCGATGATAAATTTATCAGCCAATACAAACTGTAACTTTGATCGCATGTGTTTACTGTTGTTCTGTTATTTCGTTCTCCCTTCTTTGTATTTTTAGCAAAATAATGTGACCTTTTTTTAAAATGTGATATTTCAAAATTCATGTGATAAACATTTTATGAAATGCCTGCCTCTCCGAAAATTTAACTGAAAATGAGCAACAAAAAATACTATAGTTAAGGTGGTGGTTAGCTAGCTTCTTGACTCCATAATCATTCGTTATTGTGTTTTAGGAATAGGCTCTTTTCTTACAAATAACTGATTGTACTTAGTCAGTCAATTCCTCTATCTCCTTCCAGTCTCAGGCAAACGCTAATCTACTGATTTGCTGTTTTATGACACTTAGTAATTTTTTAGGGTCTCGCTCATTCACTATGTAAAGCTGACTGATTGGCATCTTTCTCATTACTAGGACAAGACACATCATTGGTTTGACAGTGCCTCTATAAATAAATGCACTAACTGTTCCTGTCCAGACTTTCCAAAATAGCAGCCCTGTTTTGGTTGAAAAGATCCTTTTTTATAAATCAAATTCCTCTTTCCATTTCCTTTCATTTGATATAATATTTTACTGCTCAACAAATAGGAAAAACAGGGGACAAAGGCAAATGTGTCCCAACACGCAGGAATCAGGCACTGGTCAATTTTGAGCATGTGGAGTTATTGGTACCATCTGAAAGCTGTTTCACTTGCCCTGCTTTTTATGAAAAAATAACCTATTTATTTTGCATAGAAGCTGAGACATTTGCCATTGAAAGAGGTAAGGGTAGCACAGTTTCAAGGGTAAAATTAGCGAGAAAATGGCCGCTAAAGTACAGTGACTTCTATAGTTTGAGAGTCCCTGGAAACTGAATATTTATGTATTGTGTGCCATTAAACGTTTTTCAGTAAAATTCAATTAGAAATGTGTTTATATATGGACAAATTAGGTGATGAGCTAAAAAACAAAAACTTGATAAAAATTGACAAACTGGAGGAAAAACGCCTCTTTCTTCAATTTCATTATTTTGATGAGTGCCTGATTCCACCCCGTCCTTACACAAATGTATTAACAACACATGTGCCTGCTAGCAGAAGAAATTACAACTGGGAGGGTGAAAAATTACATAGTGACTGAGCTAAGCTATTTTTGAATAGGTACAGGCATGTGTGGTATCCGTTCTGTAGTAAAGGTAAAGTTTGCATCACAAAAACCATAGCCTGCTGCGTCCTTTTCTCATAAGTATAGCTGCAACTTCACTGTGACCCGTATGACGACCGTGGGTTTAGCTTACAAGGTCAAACAGTTCAAAATAGGGGTTTACACTTAATTTAAGCTTCTCTCTTTAAAAGCCAGCTTTCATGTCTCAGTATCTAAAGCTTTCATTGGGTTATCTGTTCAATGCTTTCTGTAATATTGTTTCTTTTTACTGAAACGACTTTACTCTCCAACAAGATGCAAAGTCAATCTAGTTTTGTATTGGACATTTCTCTTGTTGACTCTTTGTTGAATTATTCATTTAATTCCCTTTAGGTTCTCAGAAAAGGGGCCCATACATCTCGTAGTTTTTAATCTTTTTTTTAGATGCTTCATTCATATGTTTTTGAAAATCCCTTCCCCAGTTGACGGACCTGATGTTCTTTTTCCTGATCCTGTTGGTGTTTGTTCTGAGCTTCGGTGTTGCGTACCACGCGAACATGTTTCCCAACGCCCCGCTGGACTGGTCTGTCTTTTTCAATGTCTTGTACTACCCATACTTCCAGATTTATGGGGAACTCTTCATTGAAGACTTGAGAGGTAAGTATAGTTAGTAGGTTGCTTTTCTTTTGACTCTAGCAACCTGTGTGTTGAAATGCAGCTGTAATTAATACCATTCTCATCTTGTCCCAGTCTAAAGAACGGAAAGAAACTGGAGTGCTGGAGGTTTTTTTTCTTTCTGGATGGTACAGCAAGGTTATGGACCCAAACACACCCCCGTGGCTTGTACTCTCTTTTTCTTTCACACACTGAAGACACAGCCCACACACTCCATTTTCCCTCTGCACCCTCAAGACACATCTCTGTGTGCTGTGGTGAAATTTAGCAGTCTTCACTAGGAACCTAAGGTGCATGGGTCCTATAGGATTTGAGGGGGGGGGGGGCAGGGCCCAGGATCCGAGATGCTTATGATTTGTCAAACTTGCTCTGAATGTGGTCATCTAAATAAAAAGAGCTATATACCTCTTTTCAAATATGCAAAACATGTACTTTCAGAAGGTATAATTCTCTTGTTAGGAATGTATTCTACTTGCACAATAAAAGACAAGGAATATAATAGACAAAATCGAGTATATCTCTTTTTCCTCCACTTTAGACAATGTACACTTTTATGTTTTCAAAAACCCTTTTCATTTATGAGACTGTTGGCAATATAGTGTTAGTAAAACTATCGTTATAGATATCCATGAGCTGACAGGTCATTCCCTGAGAGCCTTTGTGTTATGTGTGTGCTCTGATAAGGGGATAATTCTAATTAATATGTGTGCGAAAAATCTCTTTGCTACATGTGTGTACTTTAAAGGTAATAATTGTAAAACCTCTACTCAAAATCATTTTACTACATGAGTATTTTCTTTAAAGGAAATGATTCTAATATCTGTTTATACCCAAAAGCTTTATGCCACATTTACAATATTCTTTATAGGTGATGATTCTAATGGCTGCACCAGAAATGAAACAATCTGGAGAAAGGACCCCATGAAGAGATGTGGAGACGAGACCGCCATTGTTCCGATCTTGTTGGCTGTCTACATGATACTGACCAATGTCCTGCTGGTCAACCTGTTGATTGCTATGTTCAGGTAAATATCTGTGTGCTATACTTTGTTTCGTTGCTGTGTTATAGTTAGTGATTGGCAAATATCTCTGTGCTATGTTTTGTTTTGTTACTATATGTGAGGCAGTGTGGTGAAATCAGGCGCTTTGTCAAAATAATGAAATCGGAGAAACAGGCATTTTCCCGCCAGTTTGGAAATTTTTTTGGAATTTTTGTTTTTTGGCCCAACACCTTGCATGTCCATTCAAAATCACTTTTATGTATGGATTTTTATGGAAAAACGTTCATTAAAGGCACATAAATTAAAATTTGCAGTTTCCAAGGACTCTTAAGCTATGGAAGTCACCAAACATTGGCGGCCATTTTCTCACTAACCTTACCTCTGAAACCAGGCGACCCCACCTCCTTCAATTGCAAGTATCTTGACTTCTGTTCAAGATAAACTGATATTTTTTTCATGGAAAGAAAGGCAAATGTACAACCTTTAAGATGATACCAATAACTCCATATGCCTAAAATTATTGACCAGCGCCTGATTCCACCACGTCGCGACACATTTTGTTTTGTTACTATAATATTGTTAAAGATTGGTAGATACCTCTGTGGTACATTCTGTTTCATTGCTATGTAATGATTAGGGACTGGTAAATATTTCTGTGCTCTATTTTGCTTCATTGATTTATTATTGTAAGTGACTAATGTTGGTTTTCTTTAACTTATTTTCTATATGCAGGCCGATGGCTTTATAAACAGAGACTTCTTGTGTCACTGATACTTTTATCTAAAAACCTTTGAGAAATGGAAAGGTTTTGTTTCTTTTATCCGTGTGTGTTATTCTTATTTTACTTCACAGAGCTATATAGTTGTGTCAGTGTGCTTCTTTTTCATTTCTGCAAAATAAAGCAGGTTAACAACTTTGTGGAAGGTGCTCTTGTTTATTGGAAATGTATTTCTGAACATAAACATGAGACTTTGTTTACTTATATGGATTCTTAGAGATGGAGTAGAATACTGTATCCTATTCACATCGTTCTTATGACTTTTGTTGGAAATGAGACCCTAAATATTTTGTTTTTGCTTTTCTTTTAATATCTGGAATATGTTTGTGTATGAATACATTCATTCATTTATTGTATTCATACACATACATATTTCAATGTATTACATTCCCCCTCGACACCCTAGAGGTACAAGAGCACGGATAAAGTAAAGTAAAATAAAGTATGAATACATTCAGTTGGTGTCATTTTGGGCTTGGGTGCCAGTGACCCTGGTTGGAATGGCCAGACGGGGGTTACACATTTAGCTTCGGTTGCTTTTATTGGATAAGAAATTTTGTTTGAGATTCCCACTTTTATGTATTATGTCAAAACAGGTGTTAAATCTGCACCTTGCTGTACCTTACTAGCTCGCATAAGCATTAATTTATGCTGTTGATCAGTAGGATTTTTTTCTGTTTTGATGAACTTTTGTCTTTTTTGTCCTCAGCTACACATTTCAGACTGTGCAGGATAATTCTACAAAAGTGTGGAGGTTTTACCGTATTGCCTTGGTCTATGAGTACTTTGATCGGCCATCTCTGGTTCCTCCCATCATCATCATCAACCACATCTTCCGCCTCTTCCGTTTCCTCGTCTACTATAAAGGCGGTGGCTCCAAGAGGAAGAATGCTTTCCGTAAGATATTTATGGCTATGAATTTCTAAGTTCTTTTCTGAATTAAATCCCTACTCTGCCTGAAGTAACTTATTCACTTTTTATACTAATCAGGTTTTCATCTGTAAGAAAATCTATTTTATGAATGTTAATTTCATTTCTGAGTAACACCCTGCTTTGCCTAAAATGACTTATTCGCTTTTTCTACTCATCTTAAATAGTTTATCACCATTAGAATGATAGATATGTTCGTTCATGACAAAAGTTTTCTTTTGCATCTACCAGAGTTGTGATTTGTGTTGGAGATACAGCGAATCTATACAAAATAAAAGTATAAAATTGAGGATACTAAGGGTTTTTCGAGGCATACCTTTACTCTGGAAAGTGTCAAGTAATGCATCTCTGATTTTTGTTGTCTTTGTTTATTCTGCTTCTTTTACTTGTAGGAAGTCGCTTATCAGACGAAGACAACTTGAGACTGACGCTGTTAGAGAAAGCCTGCACGGAGGTCTACCTAGCACACTCCTCTCTGAGGCTACGAGAACAGATGGATCAAAAAGTGTCATCAACTGCTGACAGGTTAAGGAGAACTCTCTCTCTCTCTCTCTCTCTATCTATCTCTCTGTCTCTCTCTCTTCTTCCTCCCCCCACCCTCTCCCACTTCTCTCTCTCTCT